TGAGGTCGTGGTACTTACCCGGACGGGCCTGCCCATTCGTGCAACAGCCGAGGCTGCTGCGTGGCCCTACCACAGTCCACTACATTTTTTTTATTATAGGAGTTTAAGTCATGTGTACAACATCTGTCCGGTCTGCTTGTAATTAAGTAAATTTTTCTGTGAAAGTTTGTTAAATAAAAATAAGTGTTTAGCGGATCGTAAATAAAATCAGTTCATAAACTGAATCAGCAGTGTATATTTAATTCCGTAAGAAATAAATATTATAAAATTTGTTATATTGCGGGTTAGAGTATGTCTAATAATAAAAAAAATGTCTAATAATAAATGACCACCTGCAACAAGTTTGTCGAACAATTTGTCGCAAAATAACACGGTTGGTAGAAATCGACTTGCTAGCATCTCGAAATAAATAGAGTAGTTCGGAATTAGATAAGAAATAAAAATTAACCCGAACCATTATAATAAAGTTTAACGGTAAAGTAGGTTAATGGCATAATTTAATGATGTTATTGAGAATTACTTATTAAACAAGAGATTACACATAAACATGCCTTCCATTAATATGCAACCTGTTTATCAATACTTAATTAAATAAACTTATGCAAAATGTCGAAGATATGCAAATAAATATGTATTGTGTGGAATAAAATTGAAATCCTAAATATTTTCCACATAAAATTTGCAAATACTTAAATGGGTTTAGTGTGGCGTTAATCGCAATAAACTCGTTTTGAAGAGCCGGTATTACGGTCGTTGTTTATATTATTCGTCGATATAAATAATTCATGTTGATCTTATTTGATGCAGTAGGTATTGTTCCAAACTTATTCGATACGTTATATATTTATATGTTTATTTAATTGTACTTTCTAGAAAATATCTTCGGCCATCAAAGGTTGGAACCGGTACCACTAGTGTTTATTATGTTTATTAAGTTTAACATTCTGCACTTATTAATGAATTTGGTTGAAACCAAGCGGCCATGACACTCAAATTAAGTTTGATACCTACTTAAACAAGAACTAAGAAAGAGCTATTCAAATATTAATGCGATAAAATATTATTAGAATGGTAAAAAATAAAAGTAAGGTAAGATTCTATAAATGTCTCACTGCTGGGCAAAGGTCTCCTCTGTACAGAGGTGATATGGACATTTTCCACCACGCGTCCCCACTGTGGATTGGCGGCCTTCGCATATTTTTGAAATGTTTCTCTTTGTTATTATTCGCAGGTTTCCTCACGATTTTTTCTAAACACGTAATAAGTCAGCACTTAAAATTATCAATTTCATTCTTGCCGGTACCGGGGACCGAACTCAGGTTGCTCGTGTATATTGAATTAAAAGAAAGCGAGAGAAATAAACAACGTAGGTACAACAAGTTGAAGTTTTCGTCGTTGCAGCATAAAACCGTTTAGCTCAGTGGTTAAAGCATCTGGACGCGTGTCCAGAAGACGTGGGTCCGATTCCCTCAGCCGCGAAAAACTTTTCGTTAATTTTTTCTACAAATTTTCATCTTATGTGCAGAGATAATTATAAATTAGTAATAGCACTACAATAATTTTAGTTTCAAATAGCAATGGCGACATTTCTAGTTCGTGGGTTTGATTCCCGCAGCAGCGAAACTTTTCGTTCATACCTTGGACAATTTCAAAGAGGAATAGCTTGTTCATGATCATATAGATCTTTGGAAGACCCATATTATTATTTCATGTTTGTAAAGAATAATTGAGCAAAGTTTATTCGGAATTAAGAAACCATCGCAAATTTCCAGGCTACATATGTGGAATGTTTCGCAACGCACTGCTCTAATACATACATATATACCATACGTATAATACATACAATCGCAGAGCTATTGGTGCATCAGACAATTGAACAATTATCACAAAACTAGCTGACGGCTACGCTTCGCTGCAGTTTTTTTTTTTTTTTTTAAATTTGGAATAAGAAGTAGGTGTCTATAACACTGTCCCATTCAATAGCTATGTTGTGAAAAAAATTACAAGTACATATCGTCGGTCGTCATAGTGGGTAGTGTGTGTCTGGGTATTAACATACATACATTATATATATATATATATATATATATATATATATATATATATATATATGTTATTATTTACAAAAGATAAGTATGTTTGTTTTCTAGTACCTACACAACAAGCATTGCTTAGTTTGGGTCTAGAGAACGTTGTGTAAAAATGTGTCGTCCGTACTAAAATATTTTGGTACGGAACCCTTAAAAAACAAACAAATGGGCACAAAGTCGTTACTTGAAGTGAAAATCTAAGAAGGCACAAGGCAAAAAGATAAGATAGTGCGAGTAAAATTTAATAACGACGTAATAATACCTCTAGTTTAATCAGCCCGCCCCGTTACTATTAAAAGGCGCGCTTGTATCACAGGCATTACTCGAGAACTTGAGCTCGAATCGGTTCCAACCTCAAACAATTTTCTATGCATAATGCAATTAAAAAAATTCTATAACAACATTTGTTCCGCCCGAAGAGCGACATTTAGTCGAAACTTTAAAAAAAACGCCGATGTCAATTTATGAACACACTTGTGCCAGAATCTACTACTTTGGCTGTACTACCCTCGGTAATAAGTAGAATATAATTTAAAAAAAAAACCCGACTGCATTTCTGTGTAATTTTTTATTTTTATGTACCCAGCGTTACTCTCACAGTAAATACGAATCTAACGACACCACTCAAGCTTAAATCCATCAATCCGTTCGGGCTGCAGAGCGTGCCAAACAATTATACATACACATATACTCTCGAAAAACATAACCCTCCTTCTGGAGCAGTCGGGTTAAAACAGTGACCTCTGATATCTACTTCACAATCGCATTAAGTATTCCCTGTAATGATACTTGTAAGTTGATGTATAAAATGAAATATAAATATGATTCTTTTTTTTATCTCCGGCATGTGGTAGAAACACTGGCAGCAAATAGCAAATGAGAATATTATTTACACGCACGCTTATTTACACGAGTACCTGGCGACCTAGTTTAATGAATTTAAGTCAAAGAGCTTGTCACTAGTTAAATTGCTTGTTGAATCAATGATACTATTTGTTATCCTAACAGTTTTAGTAACAATTTCTTTACACTAGTTTTCAGTGCTTTGTTTGTATTTTGGAATGGACTTTACTATTCAGTAGACGTGAATATCTTTTAACTAGCTGCAGTGAACGGTGATTCTTTTACTAATACGAGAGCGGATTTAAAAGTTTGCATCCTCACATATATACTTAAACTACCCTCCTTCATTAGAATTAGCCCAATTTCAATATATAAAAACGAGCTAAGTGAAACCGATTTTATAAAATGAACAAACAACATCATTTACTTTTGTAACCGACATCCAAAAGGAGGGGACTCAATTCGACTGTATTTTTTTATGTTGTGTATCAAAAGCTCTTAGTTACCTGAGTGAGCCGATTTTGAAGATTCTATTTCGTTAATAAAAATTATTTATAATGACTTCTTACTAATAAAGTTTTCGCCTTCGTTCTTCTTGCACTTCTACCATTGTGAAAAGTAGGTCTCCGAACTCAAACGTGGACCTTTCGACTTGCATCGGTTTCTTAACATACAAAACATAGTTATGATGAAAAATAACTTTTTATTCTCTCATATGGCGCTAACCTATCAACCAGCCGACGTAATAATAATGACATTTACATTGACCTTGCATATAATCGTGGCTTTGGCTTATTTTATTTGTGAAGTGGCAGCCAGCTCTTATACTATTATAAAATACAAGGACTTGAAATCGATATGGACGTTTCAATCCGCATGTAAGCGATGGACCATACAAAAAAATGCAAAAGATTTTTGCGAAAATTTAACTACACATTTTCAGGTAGAGAATAGTACTAAAGTTATAAATTAAAATTACAATAGCAAAAGCACATAATTATCTAGTTTCTAAATGTTTCATGTAAGAACGCCATTTGGGGATGTGTGTTTGCAATAAATAATATTAGATGACGCCAAGATTGGTAAGAATGCAGTGTCGCTTAGTGAGAGCATCTGGGAGCGTCCGGTAGGTGCAGGTTCGAATCCTGGCAGCTTGGGAAAAAACATCGACAATTTTAGCAATGCAATGACACATTAAATCGCATCTTAATTGAGGCTTAAACTAAAGTTAAAATTAACTGATTATTACCGAAATTCGCACATATACGCCAGTTAACCGGCGCGCCGTACACATCTTCGAACGGCCATAAAGAGAATCGATTGACAATGTGTCACTGTGTAGTTCTCACCTTTAACTATAACACGTAGTCATAAAAGTCTACAGTGAGGTTTCATTGATGTTGAAAACCCTGTGCAAAATATCTTTATACTGCGATTACCTTTATAATTGTTACCGACCAAAAATTATTTCTTTTACAATAGATTTAAAAACATCGCAGTGTAGGACGACCCCCCACTAGATGGAGTGACGACCTGTGCAAATGTGCGGGAAGTCGATGGATGCAGGTGGCTCAGGATCGTACTTCGTGGCAGTCTGTGGGGGAGGCCTATGTTCAGCAGTGGACTCAAACAGGCTGAAATGATGATGATGATGATGAGATTTAAAAACATGTTTCAAAAACTCATTGGATACTTTTACACTGTCTCGATTTCGTTTGTTCATATATACATATAACTGTGCTCATTGTTCATAAACAACCATTTTAGGGCGTTGCAGATTTAGCTTAGCTCTTTATTCGCAGACAGCTTCAAAATAAGTTCTTAGTATGGATGTGTGGCATAAATGGAAGCGAAAATCAGGCTGACGTATACGCCTTGACCAATTGCCATCTGAAGGATGATGATAAACGAAAACGGAACAAATGCACTTTAATGTTGTGTATGTAATACGAAATTCAACGATACATTGAATAGTGCGTGTGCTGTTCTTATAACGAAACAAAAGACAATATCAAATAGGTTTTAATTTATACGTAGTATGTACAGTCTCGCGCAAGCATTGCTCACCCAATAGCAGGAGGTTCTTCACGTTGACCGCGATTATTTGAGGCATGGCTGTACGGAGGTCTCTTTTGTATCCGTAATGGTGTCTGTGCTCATCCTGCGTCTCGTTCTGGTCCTTCTCCGTGGGGCGCATCTGTTAGGAAACAAAAGAAAATCGTTGAAATTTGGTTCGAAGCTTCCCGCCATAACCCGGCCGCGATTCTACAACCGAACTTCAATATACTACCAATAGAGGCGATTACTTTCAATAAAGAAGTAATTGGCGTTATGGACAGTGGCCGGCGAGCAAGAGGAAATGGTTTCAACTCCAGTACTCAAAAAATATTGCGTGATGAACGTATTGTTTTCCTAGTGTCTGGATGTTTATATATCTGTAATATTGTCACTAGCTGCGGGTTCGGGATCGAAGTGCAATGCCGGTCGTTTAAATGTTTACTTTATTGCCGCCAACAAAGACGTGCACACTGGCCCACTCAATACCGCTCCAGTCCTTACTAGTACTACCGGTGCGGTGGACTCTAACCGGTTGAAATGATGATGATAAATATGTATTTACTAGATTCTGCCTAGACTGAAGGCGTAACATTCAGACAGAAAGACAGATATACATAAAATTTTTCTATAAATTATAGCCTATGTCTTATTCTGATGCATAAGCTATATTATTGTAACGTTTCATTAAAATCCATTCAGTAGTATTTGCGTGAAGGAGTAACAAACATCCATCCATACGGATAAACTTTCGCCTTTATAATATTAGTAAGGATTTACAAAAGAAAAGTAGGTTCAAGTGTGTTTCAGTTACCTAGTATCCATAGTACAAGCTTTGCTTGGTTTGGGACTAGATACCGTTGTGTAAAAATATGTCCCAAAATATTAAAAAAAAAGTATATTTTCGTACGAACTCGTTATGGATAATGTATCTATGTTTAGTTACATAGTTTTTAATGTCAGATGTCTGCATATAAATTAGGATTTAGGTACATATATCCGTCAAATAAGTGATAAATTTAAAGGCCCGATGGTAAATAATAAAACTGTAAAAATAAATTTATAACGCATACACACATCATGTAACAAAAATAATAAAACGTGTCTGATAGTAAAAAGACAATGACTACTATTAACAAAGAAAAAACGCAAGGTAAAATGAAAAGATTACTAGAGTTCACGGCCAGTGCGAGTTTATATCCTTTAATGGCCGGTTTCAATATTGTATCTACAGATACGAGTATATTTGCTTACTAGCGATAGCTATTTGACATTAGCCCCGTAATACCTACATCAAAATTCTATCTCCTCTAACCGAATCTATCTGTAGATTGAATATAGTAACCGGTTTTATAACGTAAGAGGACTTAGCAGTCAGTTCGCACTTAGTATTTTGAGTGCACTTAATTACGACGAATGAAGTAACGCCAATAAAACTATTGTTACGGGTTCCGGATGTCGTAAGACGCCGGTTTTTCGAAGTCTACTTTTTATAAACATAAACGCGCGCCGCCGCCTTCTTGAAACATCCTTCAAAATCCTTCACTACACTACTATTGATGCGATTACACTACACTACTACACAAAAATCCTTCACTAAACTGCTACAGATGCGATTGCCTCGTGGTCTTTCAGTTGCCTTCTCAGTTTCAATACACTTTTCACTACTACTGTTCACTTTAATTTCTTCACTTATACACCTTTCTTCTTCCGCTTTCTTCCTCTGAGTTCCTCGACTGACCTGCCTGGCTAGCCTTCTACTTCTAACCTTCAGGGTCCTTTTGTAAGTAGAATTTCGATCCACTTTTCGTTTGAAATGTTCTAGAAGCGAGTTGAATGTCGATCGGCTTTTGTACGGATACAATACCTTAGACGGTACTATTTTGCCTCTTTGCAACATTTGGGTGTCTTGATAAGAAATCGGGAAGCCAGTGTTTATCAAGGATGGATCTTTAAAAGTGTTTGGTCGTTTTAAATTTTCAACCAGTTTTTCCACTCCAACCTTAATTACTTCTGAGAAATTGGAATATCGCGTTTTCCCAGATAATGGAACCACTCAAATATTTTTGTTTCTACTAATTTTGGTGTAGTTCGATTTCGTGCCGGGTATAACACCACAATTTTTAAAACGTTTGTTTCGAAATGTCGTTTCTGGAATATTGTGATGTCGAAGAACTTTTCAAAAACAGTATAAACACTATTGCTTTCTTTGATCGCTGTTATATCTTTTTCGTGATCCAATTTCGAATATTTTTTTTGGCTTTTCTATAGCCAACGATACATATTTAATGATATGACATCGGAGTGAGCCAGAGCTTACGAATTTATTTTCTTTGTCGATATAAGAAAGCCATCAAACTACTGATAATGTAAAATATTGAGGATTTTCATTACTGTTTTATTCGTAATCGTCTGTCACTAAATATCCAAGTATATTGGTTTTTGAAAGTAAAAATATTAAGCGTTTGCACAAAAATTTAAGTTTCCCCACTATCCGTTACTAAATGCTTTTGACAACAGTGATTTACAAGCTGCTATAAAGAATGAACATTGTACTCTAATTGTGACAATACCGCGGTATAACATTCTCGTAAAGGCTTATCCCGACTTACATAGATCGGAGTAGGGTTTTACCGTTTTATGTACCTTTTTTAATTCGGATTAATTAAAGTAAAACATTTTACAAAATCATGTAAGCAAACTAATGCTTAATTGCGATATATATTTCGATTTCGGTTATATCGAAATACGTTAATAACATAATTTTCTATAATTAGTTTTTCCATATTATAATTAATTATCCAAATAGAGTCTTTTATCAGCTAAAATTAGGAAATGGCACGCCAACCGTACCTCGTAATATTTTTTATATTTCTTAGTTATTTCAATAATCAAAATCAAAACAATTAATTCCTAATAGTAAAACTGCCTTCAGAATTAAAACCAAAAGATAGTCTATTAAATTGCAATAACGTGGTAAACATCGGCATTTAGAAACCAACTACATTATTTACCACCAAGAAATACAATAATTTGTAAAAACTGATTTTCTCCTTAATTTCGACAGAAAAATATACAAATGTTAGGTGGTTTCAATAAAAAATCCTAAACAAAAACTCGCACAAAATAAAATTACAATCTTCAACATAACTTAGTATATCGTAGTACTCACGTGCATAAAGTCCAAAATGTACGAAGCGTAAGATCGAGACGACTACCGGCAAACAACTAAACGTCTGATTATTTTAAAACGTACACCCACTAAATTACTATATTTCTCATATGAAGAGGAACAGATAAATAATTAACTGGATACGGTATCTTGACAGAAATAACTCTCGAATTAAATACATCGGAGTATGGTCTCATGTTTAGAACCGCTCGGAATTTTGTGTACTTTTTTCGTAACTTGCTTCGAGGTGACATTCTCGACCTTGTGGCGTCTCAGTTTTTCGGCAAACGGGCCAATAACCCTTGGTTGCAGTTGCATCGGAGATATCGAGAGAGTCTCCATCTGATATATGCAATGTGTTACAGATGTTAAGTGGGCACGAAATCTGTGGTTCCATTTTGAAGATATGCATTTTCTTCTCCTTTTGTGAACTTACTTATATTCAACGCTGCATGGTCTTCGTGTCAGGGTCTCAACCATAGACTGAGTAATTATTCATTCTATGGCTCCCAGAAGAAACTCCTAAATCATACTCCTGCATTGTTCTATCCGGCGCGCGACTTGTCCGTACTGACAGCGAAATTAATGTACATAGTCATCAAGTACCACGTCCTCACAGAAGACCGGCGTAAAGCGGAAGTATAATAAATACTTTCACGTTTCGTCTGGTGAGTGAGGTAGCCGGAGCTGAATCTTCAAAAGGTTGTCAACGCATCTGTAACGTCACGTTCCTCAGTGAGGCCAGTCACGTCCCCGGACACGTCTGCCTATTCGTACAAAAGCAGAATATGTTGTCAGGCATTATTACCACAGAAGATATATGATACAGGTTTGTCCTAAATATCTTTCAGTACATCTATTATATTACTATTAATACATGTTCCATCAATCGTCTAAAATTTTCTGGCGGGTTACATGACCTTAAAATGACTTAGTCCTTTTCTAGTCGAAAAAGTAGTGTTTTGAGTTCCGTACCCAAAGGGTAAAACGGGACCCTATTACTAACACCTCTCTCTGTCTGCCTGTTTGTCTGTTTGTCTGTCCGTCTGTCACCAGTCTGTATCTCAAGAACCGTGATAGCAAGACAATTGAAATTTTCACAGATGATGTATTTCTGTTGGCGCTATAACAACGAATACTAAAAAAATATTTAAGTGGGGCTGCCATACGACAGACATGAATTATTTTGCCGTTTTTATAGTTAATGGTACGAAACCATTGGTGCGCGAGTCCGACTCGCACTTGGCAGGTGTATCCCCATCCTTTTCATTAACTTCCACGTGCCGATAGCCGCTTTTCTATCCAACGTAGGGAATCAAATCGTATCAGTCAAGGTATCCAGTGTCGTCTGTACTGGGTAGTGGATAACTATCCATTTTGGTAAGGTCATTGAAACGTGTATCATCAATGCAAAATGCAATATCCGTCTTCTTCACTAGAACCACTGGAGAGTGCCGAATTATCGTAGACGGTTGAGTAATATTGCTTTTTCTCCGTTGCGTTGTATTATTGTACCAGCCAGTCGATTGGCTACGTGTATTGGATAGTTCCGTTAACCGACTACATAGTGATTATAAGAATCGTTGTTTCCAAATAATATTACAATTTAACGTTAAATAAAAATATCGGAATATATATATTTTTAGACAAGGACTGATGTGTCTAAAAAACAAAACTTCAACAATTAATTGAATTCTCAGAAATCGAATTAACGATAGATCTGTGTTATTTTATTTATGCTAGCGGTCGTGCAGCGGTCCAAGTTCGACCATAATTAATTATGCATGGTATTGTGTGTAATTTTTTATTATGTAAAGTTAAAGAAAATTATTTTCATTCTGCGATAAACTATACTAGTGGAAAATTTCATAATCGTTAACCCGCGCAATTTTCGTAAAAAGGGGTACAAAGTTTTTGTTTCACGTATTTATATATAAATAGATATTATTCAGAGAATAAAGCATTAAAAA